CGCCCTAAGGGAATCAACGGAGATGTCGCGTGTGAAGGCCTGGTACTGGATGTGTCTGAATGCGGAAACACTCCGCGGCAGCGCCACGCACAGGCGATCGATACGGTTGCTCTCCGAATGTCTAGTTTGCGGGGTAGATACAGCTACCCCGGTACCCCGCATAACACCGTTCTGTCAAGGCGAACATGATGCCGACGGAAACGCCGGCTTGCCGATTCTGGTAATTCGAACAGAACAAATGTCAGTGTTGTCGGGACTCTACTCTAAGAGTGATCGTATCACTGTTCTGTCATCCATGGAGCTGCATTTGGAAACGCTTTCGACTTCAAGTCGCATCCGAGTGCTAGCATTCACCATGCGAACACATACAGAGTCAATGACTCGTGTTCGGGGTCGCAAGCTTCAAGCGCGATGAGTATGCACTAATCTGCATCACATGGGACCAAATAAGCCCGACGATCGTATTGTCGCCTAGCCATTTCAGTGGTGTATGGGAATCTGGATGTCTCAACATGCGCAAATGCAGGGCATTCAGATGTTACCGCCCGGTCCGAAGGAAATCTGCGGAACCGCATCCCACAACGATCGAATTTGGACACATGCACGGACTCCTGAAGCCACCCGGACTGTTTATAGGACTGGATGAAAGGAAACTCGCCTGATATCCTCCTCAACGGACAAACAAACTTCTGGTACCTTCTCACACAGGTAATAGTGGTGTACAAAATGTTGTGAGCCATTTACTGACTTCGTACATCGATCTTTAGGCATGGTTTGGAAGAGTTGTACTGATCACAAAGCATGGACGTAGCTTGACGATGCATCTGCTAAGCATCGAAGAAGAGAAGACTGCCATACACCAAGAGCTTCGCCATGTTCGTCGTGGCAAGGTGCGACCCCAATCGCGTCAGTGAAGAGCTGGAGTGGAGTAGGATGTCCACTTTGTAAATGGCCTACCTGACTGTCCTGGCTACATTTCGAATGGACTATTACGGTGTTACCCCCCCAATAGTATCTGTTCACGATTGACTCAACATGGTTGTCATGATGGATTGACCAAGCGGCAAGTGGATGTTCTGGCTAGAGCTTCTCCGTTCTTCTAATGTTCGCTAAGAGACTCCCATCCTGTTGCACTAACGCGGAACATAGCAAATCGTTCAAGCAATCTTTACTCGAGACCATGCCAACTCTCTAACTGGAGTACCACAAGACTTCATCCACTAAAGACGCGTTTCATCAAACCTTACTATCGCTTTGGGCATCCAACTCGTGAGGATCGTGGCGATCGTGGTCTGCCAGTTCTGCGGGAATTTGCCCTTTCTCACTCACCTCATGGCATGTGCCACCCCTTGATGCATCCAAGGAAGAACCGTCGGCTTCATACAGCACGGGTTTACCATGCGTGTTCCTATAGCGGCGGAACAAGAAGAAGGCCGCAAAGGCTGAAGCTAGGACGACTACCGGGACAGTGATACCTGTGGCTATCGCGACTTTCCGAGAAGTGTTCTTGGGAGCAGGCGTCGACTCAGGTGAGGTAGTGGGCTCGGGTGATGAGATAGGTGTTGTTGAAGTGGGAGTTGAGAAAGCCGATTGCAGGGTTGATGCTGGAGAAGCAGAAGATGATGATGGCGGCATTGAAGTTGTTGCTGGTACCGATGTTGTAGCGGCTATCCCCATGTCAGCTCGTTCATTTCTCACCCCAGAACAACGGATTACTCACCGGCGATCTCAGCCAACTTAGAACCTCCGATATCACAATAGCTGCTAAACACTTCCAGCGCCGTCGTGTTTTGCGAAGGGTCGTCTGGACACTGGGTCATGACATGAGCTCCAATCATGCTGGAGAACTTGGCAGAGCTCTCGTAGCAGACTGTGATACAGAAATTACCAGGTCAGCGCACGTCGCAGCCGCAAGCTTTGTTCCACAATGGCAACTTACAGCAAGTAAACGACTGGTATGAGCCGCCATCCCCGCACCCCCATTTCATGTTACGCACGATAGTCGACAATTCGAGCTCGGCACATGTTGCGAGCAGCTTGTATTCTTCAATCTGATCAATGAAGATACTCGTAGGACCACTAGCGCCTGCTACGCTGACCAGGGCTAGGAGAAAAGCAAGAGCGGGAAAGCCTCGGCTGCCAACCATCTTGGTGTATGCTAGCGTATCTTACTGGAGAGATAAATCGATACAAGCCTTCTTTTTTCACAGCGGGAAGGCTAAGGGAAGAGTTGTGGAGAAAGCGAGGTTGGCAGCGGACCGGCGTATTTTGTACGCAGGGCGTTTTCGCACATGTCGCAAATTACCCCAGCCTTCCTTCGCTGGAAATGGATGTCTGGATGTGATAGCACGGGCATGTGTATGCACATACTTGAACCCGAGACGGCTGAACTCTGATTGAACGCCCATGTACGCATAAATAGACTTTCACCTCAACACACCGGCAAGGCTGAAGAATTGTGCAGCAGCAACAACGCCGAACGAGAAATGATCGGGGTCTGATAGTGACGGGTGAGAACATGGCGTTCTCTTCGGTGCCTGCCATTGACTGGATCCGGCGGGTGCGTCGCCATTTATCTCTAGAGTTTCGATCGGGCCAATAGGGGCGGCCTTGGGGGCGGCCCAGCTGCATGCACAACGTCTGTGGGTGCACTCCCGCAGCTATCACAGACAGCCACCACTATCAAGGCTAGCTCACCCGTAAAGTTTCGATGAGATAAAATTAGCTGGTAATTTGAGGTGATGTCAAGGCAAGTGTGGCTGGCAAGGCTGGCCCCATATGTCTCCAAACCATCAACACAGGCGCATTCGACTGTATCCGGCCCCTCGCAAGGTTGACCTGGATGGCCACCATGGCATATATAGTCTTTAGGATGCAAAGACTGAATTACTCACCAATTACTAGCCACATCTGTTTATAACTCGTATACATCTACGCACCACCAACTTTCACGATGCGCAGCCTTGTGGCTATCACTTCCTTGCTGGGGCTATCGACAACGGTAGTCAACGGTTTGGTACCAACTCGCAGGCAAGCTTCAACTTCATTCGCAGGAAGTAATGAGTACTTTCTTCATGCCCTTTCTGCATCCGAGCAGAAGGAGTATGTTGAAACTCTTGCTGGATGGGGCGCCAAGGTCCTGAGGCTTTGGGGTGAGTAGCATTTGAATAGTTATGAACATCTTTTGGAATAATTCTGCATCCTCTTAGCAGTGGATTTGAAGGAAGATCTGCAGTACTGACAATGGTTTTGTAGCGACGAACGTTGCCACAGGGTGCTTGAAGGGCAGCACCATCGAGAATGACGTGCCAGCTTTCGAAGCGACGGTTGGTGTGTACGATACGACCGTTCTAGATAAGCTCGACGACACTCTCAAACTCCTGCACGACAACGGAATGAAGGCGATCATATCTCCCCATAACGCCAATACACTGGGCGGCAGCGCGGGATGTGACGCATACTGCCAGAAGTATGGCGACGCACCTACCTTCTACTCTTCATCCAACGCCAAAGCCGACTACGACAACAGACTCAGCGAGATGCTAAACTACCAGTCACCAAACTTTGGCAAAGCCTGGAAAGATATGGAAGAGGTCATCATGGCTTTCGACCTCCAGAACGAGCCGCTGATCGGGCAGATCGACCTGTTGAACGCCAATGACCCGGACGACTGGCTATGTGGCCGTGCTGGAGCACTGCGCAGCGCTCTTGGATCCTCCAACATCAAGGTTGCCACAGGCGGTGTCGGCGGCTCTCACTACTGCTGTGATCACGAGTTCAACACGTTGGAGAAGGCTATGCAGTGCGATGCCATCGACATCATCAGCATGCACGGATACATGAGCAAGGCATCCGACTGGGCGTACTACATCACCGGCGACAGGGAAGTCTTGAGCGGAGCGAGAGCTGCAGGCAAGAACATAATGATGGAAGAGTGGGGCGTCTCGGTCGACTACCAGGACTCTTTCGATACGCAGGTTCAAGTGTTCAATGATGCTGGAGTTCCTTGGGTAAGCATAACAGCTGTGAATATCTGATGAAACGCATACTGACGTAAATTGTAGTTGTACTGGCAGATAGTCCCTGGCTTAGACGGCTCTGAAGCTGGCGCGCCCACCAGCTGTGGTTATGATAGCTTCGAGATTGGTTTGGGTAGCTCAAAGGGCGATGTCGCCGGAGGGATTGCTGCAGCGAGCGCAGCTTCGGCAGCACAATCTTGGGCGGGTTATTTGTGACAAATTCAATTTGGCTCGCGAGTGTTTTCTCGGTTGCGCTTCCTTTCGTTGATGTATTTCTCCTGAAAGTGTAGGGTTCGGCAAGCGCGTGCCATTCCCTCGTGCCACTCTTTAGTTTGATCATGTTATTCATGGATACACGACCTATACCATTGGAATGAGTTGCTTACTTCATACCTAATAAACTAAATGCGTTGCTCCTTCAGAGTTGTTGCTGTTATGGCGCTGCGTGGTGGAAATTCAGGATGCGCGTTGCACTTGCCAAAACTCCACGCACCGACAACGCGTCGACATGACGTCAGAAGACCCACTTTTCTACTGGCGCGTCTCCCACGCGTGTGCGCACCCGAAAGTTGCGAAACCTCAGAGCGCGAAACGCATCCTCTAGGCGCTATATTGCTCTGTCGGTCTCGTGTACTCATGACACAACAGATTACTCCAAACATCACGACTTTGCTCAACGGTCTTTGACCTCTGCTTCTCAACAGAGTAGGAAGCGGGACGGATGAGGCTCGGTATGAGTAGTGTCCAAATGTCTTTTCATATCCATTGCTGTTATATGGCGTACCCTTGCATCATGCAACGCACGGGGCGTTCGCCGTCTAGACGCCTTTGTGTAACGATTAGCGAGTGAAGGCAAACACAAATCGGCATCGAGTAATGCCAAACTGATCACTCACCTTCCACTTGTCTCACGAATATCAGCCACACCAAGGAAGCGCGAAGTCATATCGAACTTTAAGAAAGCATGGGCTGGCGCGACGAATGGCCCGTTGGATCGAACGGAGAAGAGTACGACGGCAAACAGATTCTGACACTGGTGCGGGACAATGCTAGTCCCTTCAAAGACGTCTGGAACATCCAGTTGCTCATCGATGAGATTGAAGAGAAGCTCCAAGTTGAAGTAACAGATATCCCGACTATCGATAAAGGCTCCAACAATTATGTACGTGTATGGTCATGGCTACTCTGGGGCCAGCTGATCTAGCCCTGCGGCCCAACGCGATAGGCTCGGCGGAGATGATATCGACGCTAAATGCCATTCTAATTCAGCTCGCTTGCCAACCATAGTTTACTGATATGTGCTTAGGGATTTCACCTTCAGGTTCGTGACGGACCGGACTTGGTAGTTCGTCTATCTCGCGGCGACGTCAACATGCCGGATTTCGATGGCTTTGTCGTCGAGCGGCAGATCGCTGAAGTTGAATTCGAAGCAGCCACATATGATCTGTTACGGAACGAAGCAGAAGTCCGCGCGTCTCACCTGCTCTATCACCGCGCACCGGTTCTCAAGCCGGGTCCTAAAGTCCAGATACCAGCAGATCTCTCGGGTCGACGCCTCTTTGTGTTCGAACGATCAGACGGCACAAACAATGTGTGGAAAGGGCTCGATGCTGAGGCAAAGGTATGAGTCATTATTCGAGGCGTTGAGATATACTAAAAGCTCTCAGACCGTTCTCCTTGATCAGCTCGCACGCATGCGTGCCGCCCTCTTCAACTATTGCCCACCCTCTGGTTTTGCAGTCAAGTACCTGCATAGCCGTATCTTTGACTTCAAACCAGATGCTTTCAGACTACCCGTAGCGCCTACTCGCGAATTCTGGATACACGTAATACAGTCAAAGATTGAAGCAACAATCAAGAACGGAGGTGACATGATTGGATGGGAAGATGATGAAGAAACCGTGGGACCTGTCGCACTGGCAGCGAAGCAGTCTCTCCTCAGAGCGATACCACATCTACTGCCGCAAGAGAACTCCGACATCTTGTACAGGCTAGTGCTTGAGCACGGTGACTTTGGGATACACAACACTTCGATCATCACAGACGACATCTGTATGCCCGAAGTCACGTCGCTATATGACTGGGAGACAGCATGCATCGTTCCAGCTCTACTAGCTGACCCACTCGTCGCGGCTGGTCCTGTGGATCTAATTACAAACGAGCGTGCTGAGCCGGCTGTCACTAGCATACCTGGATCATCGACGGCTGCGGAACTAGAAGCATATGCCACCTGGTCGCGACATTACATCAAGGTTCGTCTGTACCGAATCCTGCTTACCATGATGGTGCGCTAACACCTGGTACAATGAACAGGAGTTGTACACGCATGCGCCAGATTTCGAATTCGCGATCAAAGCGGGAAAAGATGTGCGCTATCTGTGGTTTGCGTTGCGCGACTGGCATGGTGGTGAATCTGAACAGTTCTTCGGCGACCTTGGAGCTTGGGCAGAGGCACGATTGAAGGATATGGGCATCCCGTGAGGTACTACCACCACGTCGGGCCTCTATGTGCACAATTTGCTATCATTCTGAGAGGGGCCTGTAGTGAATCGTGAGATAATGGTGTGGTATGAGGGGAAAAGATGTTCACTTCATGACGAAAATGAAGCCAAAAGCATACAACAGCGGGAGTTCGTCAGTCATTGATCAGCAACCAATGCACTGCTCAGCTCGGCTGAGCGGACGCGACGCAACGCGATCACTATTCATTGAAGCTCAGGACATTTGACGGACGTCAGTGGGGTGGCAAAAGCTGTGCTCGGCGCGAATCGAGCTCGCTTTGATCTTGTCAGGATTCTTGGGTCGCATGTTCAGTCGGCGCGTGAAGCTCACCCAGCGCGCCGATGAACTAGCTTCCTTTTATAGAATTGAGTCGCATCGCAGGGAACGCGTCAAATTTCTTGTGATAGTTTAACGCGTAGCCTGGTCTGAAGCTTTTACTGGAAGACATTGTGTGTTGCTGTTCTAGGAATTCGGAGTGTTGCAGTAGTTTCGGCAGGTGCGGCCCTGGCGGGAGGTGGGGTGGCGGGGTAGCTGTCTACTATGAGTTTAGCGTGACTGCTTCTGGTTAATACGGCGCATGCCCCAGGGACAATCGCGCGCAGCAAACAATCGTGGGATCGCAAGAAGACAACCTTCACTCCCACCATGACATTGAGGAGGATACTCATCATTAAACCACGTCTCATCCAGCCCCGTTCATCAGGAACACCTGTGTGAAGAGCTACGTCTATCAGTCTGACTACGAGATGAATCCGGATACCAACAGACTCCCATGCCCCGACTGGGTCGTTGTGCTTAATTCAAACGTACAGTAAGTGTACCAGAGCTGGCACGAAAGCATCAGTTGTTGATTACCGGTTTAACAGCGTCGCAACACACCGAGCATGGTTCAAAACGTACACGCCCTTCAAATCAGAAGTGGTAGTCTATGCGGACATGTTTCCCATACCCTGTTCCGTGCTGGGAATAGGAAGCGTCGAAATTCCGACAATACGCTCGCCCGATGCTTCAGGTGCATCCTCGCACGGAACCATCCTCCTCCACGAGGTCTTGCACGCGCCTGCAGCTATCTACAACTTTTTTGGGCAGCCTCTCTCCACAGATGGTTATACCCTTGCGTTTGGTAGTGACAACCCGAAATCTCTAGGCACTATCAAAGACCACCAGGGTAAGGATGTCGCCTATCTTGACGCCGAGCACCCAAAGTGGGCACCCAAAGTGCGCTGTGCACCAGATGGAACTACGCTCGGTCCATACGTGTTCCAGAAGAACGATGGTGCGCCAACGCTCCTAGGTGGCCATTGGAACGAAGCCGAAGAGCGCAGGTGGCAAAAGTTCAAAGCTAGAAAAGAACGACCCATAGAGACGGCCACTCCAGACGAACAGCCTGGCGAAGCAGCGTTACCGAATATCTCTCCCCCAATGCACACAACTAGAATTCCCTCGCGAAATGCCCCCTCAGGTTCGAACGCGAAAGACAGAGAGCAACCCACTTCAGGGCGACAACAACGCGATCATCTTCTTCTTCCAAAGCCTGCATTCTCTCACAAAAAGAAACGACGGGCCCCTCAACATCGACAAAGTGCACACCGGCAAGATGCTACGTCCCACAAGACCGAGGAAACCACTGCTCCTAAGAAATCCTATGCTTTAGAAATCCTCATTGCGATAACTGGTATCTCGGTAGCTTGGTGGACGATGAGTGGTGTTCGCGCTTGAGAGCTTCGTGGTGGGTCTTGGGCTGGTGGGGCGGACGCGCGCAAAAAAAAAAATCACCACCACAATGGTGCAAAAAAGAGCAAAAACATACAACAGCGGGGATTCGCTAGTGGTCACCCACCTAACTACTAATCCGCCGGTACACTGCTTGTATATGGCTGAGCGGACGGGAAGCCTAATTCTCAGTGTCCTATGGTCGTATGTGAAAGGACAGAGATTTTTCTGGCTTATAACGTGACCCAAGACCTCACGTAACCGAAGCAGAATCAATGCGGTGATGACAGGGATAGATGGCTCTAATCCGACAAGAACAACAGAGTATAGAAACAAACATAGTAAACGACAGTGCAGGAATCGAAGTCCACATTAATACACCCCAAGCGATCCCCTCCAACAATGGCCTTGTGACAACCTCCTACCAAAATGTCAGTTTATCCGCCACCCAATCCGTTACCGCAAAGAAAACATTGTGGCGGTGGAAGAAACTCCGGTTCTTCTTGCCGAGGATATCTATCAAAGCACGGATTAGCCACTGCCCTCGTCTCACCTTCTCTCTGAGACTTACACATCGGAATCGTCAACGCACAAACAGCGACCTGCGCACTCCCGACGGCGATAAACAGGGTCTTGATTCCCCCACCACCACCTACCCCACTCCGCCGTCCAGCTTCAACGACCCAGTCGAAGCCTTTAAACGTCAGGGCGAAGGAGAACACGTTCTTGAAAACGAGGAGGCACGTGAAAGCTTCGATGGACATGCCGCCTATATACGTCAGTATCTCAAAGCATGGAGTGGTCTCGGAGACTTACGATGCGCATCGACAATGTATAGCGCACTGGCGACAGCACCACACACCATACCCATAACTACGAGCGCGAAGAAGAAATCTGGCCAAAACCAGCCGTACTTCGCCGTATCTGCGCTGGTCCAGCCGAAGCCGTAGATACCAGCACAACCTAATATGAGTTGTGGGATCACGAGCACCATGCGGAACTCGGGTTCGTAGACGCCGTTATTGAGACGTGTGAGCAGATTGGCGGACCAGTCGCTAATCAGACCGGTGAGGGCGAAGCCGAGGAGTGCACCGATGAAGGCGCCTGTATACCTTGATGGGGTTAGGACATGTAGGTGCAAAACATGAACGGAATGTATCAACTTACATGTATCCTGTCTCCTTCTCTCCAAACCAAAGCGGTGGGCCAAGCATAATTGCTGCAAGCACAACACCGATAAGGACCGTGAAACCGATTAGACTGCCTTGGATGAGACAGGCCCACAGTATACCCGGATGCAAGAACAGCGAGAACGGCCGCAGAAGGAGGTGCAGATACCGGTCATCTGTTTTCCGCCCATTGAACGGCTTCATACTTTCGAGAAAAGTAACCTTGCGTGGCGAATCGCCCACCGAACGTTGGTCCGCAGAGTTTCCAGCTCCTTTTTCATCCGTGTTTCCAGCTGCTTCGTGTTCAGCAGATGTGCTACTCGACCCCCTATTACCCAGGATTTTCATCTCTTCTCCATCCTTAACCAGTAAGTTCCCCATAGTGTCGGTGTCAAATTTCTCTTCCCTCCTGAACGCCGTTTCCGGGCAGAAGAGTATGATCAGCGGTAGCATGATCCCCGAGAATATGGCGACAAAATAGAATGTCCACTGATATCCGATTGAATCTGCAATCACTCCTACCAAAACTGGGGTAAGGAACGCGCCTCCAAAGACGGCGAAGTTTGACAGCGCCATACGGACTCCGCGCTCGTGGACGTGATACATATCGCCAACACTGGCTTTAATCGAGATACAAAGTTAGTGTATGCTTCAAGTAGGATTCAAGGATATCCACGCTTGAACTCACCATTGACGAGCGCTTCGAATGGCGCTAGGCCCACGCCTTGAAACACCCTCGCCCATAGAAACCCAGCATAATTGTTTCCTATCGCGCCACCCCACGCACAACTCACCACGACTATCACAGTTCCTAGAATGTACACATGTCGTTTTCCCCAGATACGCGCTGATGGCACGAAAAGAAAGCCTGCGACTCCGACACCCAAGAGGTGGTAGCCGGTCAATAGAGCCATGTCGGTTAGGTTGTGACCAAAGTAAATGGCGAGGGAGACAGTATTGGCGGCAAGAATGGGAGAGAGGGTGCTTGCGATGACTGATATGGAGGATAGAAGAAGGAGAATGATGTCGCGACGACGAAGCGACCAGTTCTGGAGTATCAGTCAACTATGTGCACTTGCCTAGATTTTGTGCCAGAATGGGACGTTTGAAAGACGTACAAGCGGATCATTCGGATCATCACTCGGCTGCGGAACAAGCAGTATTGTCCCAGTTTTGTCGTACTTCAAGCCTGACCTCCCTATGATAGTTCCTGCATTTCTTTCGATTTCCCTCCGCTGCTCGCCTTCCAATACCTGCGCGGTCCCAGGGACCTGTTCGAGCGCATGGTCAGAGAGGATGCCGAGACCCATTGTCGCACGACCTTATGAGTGCTGAGTGCGGTAGAGCGTCGCAATAGCTACGTGGAATGCATGCGCAAAAAAAAATGTAAGGGAAAAACGGAGTAGGCTGGAAGTGAGGACTGATGATGAAGGCTGACAGTGATGGATGCCGGGGATGTTGAAGGGTCGACGATCTGGGGTGTGGAGATCGTCCAATGGGCCGCGGGAGCTGAACATGCTTCGGTGGAAGGTAGCTAATGGCAAATAGTAGCGGCCGAGCGCGTCCCGACTAGGGGCCGACAAGGCTTCAACTTCGAATGTTCAAGAATAAGCCGCACGGGCACGGGATTAGGCGGATCAGCTGGATTATCCCGCAGCACGTCGTGCAGTCGCAAACAAAAGATGGAGTCAGTCAATGTGTGCGTCTGGAAGATTGTAATCATTACCATCGCGTTCTCAAGTAAGAGAGTTGCGGTGGTTTCACGCCAAACAAGCCGTACAGGCTTTCCAGCCTGGTATCATCGATATATGTAGTTTCATAGCACCTCCCTTTGAGGGGATACATCAATTAAATGTCTCCAAAGAGGATACATCCACAGTCACTTGTTATTACAGTTTAGCACTAATGCTCCAGATCTACTAACAGTTGTAAATGCCGAAATAGATTATGAAATTAAACAAAGAAGTTTCCAAACTGTGGAAATACACTACAAATAAACCAGGCCATGTCTTCGGTGTGGACAATCGATGTTTGCAAGAAGGTTTTCTTGAGGCGCAAGTCGGGAAGTTGTCTGGTACACGACGCGTCAGGTGCATGGCTGGGGCTGCCGTTCGAACAACGGGCGCTGGGCAAGTATCCAACAGCGTACAGTGATAACAGTGTTCTCCTACAAAGCAGCGAGCAGTCCGACCATGGCAAGTCCAAGACCGACTCCAGCGCCTGCAGTCTGGATGGGCGCTGCTCCAGTGTTGCCAGCCGCTGATGCTGAAGTGGCGGAGGCGCTTCCTGAAGGGGTCATGGAGGCGGTGCCAGACACTTGTGTGACAGAGGAGTTGCCGGCAGAAGGGGTCGCGCTGCCAGACGGGGCCGCGCTACCAGACGGTGTTGCGCTGCCAGATGCTGTCGCGCTGCCAGACGGGCATGAGGGTTGGGTGTTGACGTCGATGTTCTGAAGTTTGCAAATCTCGACACCGAACTGAGTGGTCGCTGTGATAGTTGTTAGCTGGCACGGGACGCGAAATGGCAAGCGACATACCAGCGATATCCGACTGTGAGCAAGTAGCGAACACACAGCAAGACACAGCGTCGATAATCTTGCTCTCGCAAATGCATGCAATGTCAGTAGCACCGCAGCTGCCTAAGTTGCCACCGAAGCAGGCTTGCTGCGTTTTCGTTAGCTTTCGTTCGCCGGTAGTTATGGTCAATAACTCACAGCACATTGCGGGATCTGGTCAAGAAGACCTTGGGCCAGAGCTGTAGAGCTCAATGCAGCGGCAGCGGCGATAATGGAGAAGCGCATGTTGGCAAAGTTTGGTTACTTGAAAGCGACTGTGAAGTGTGATTAACGACGAGGTTTGCTTTAGACTGATACGCGACGGAATCCGCGAGGGGAAGCATGGTTTTGAAGTATCCGCCGGCCTGTGGCAGCGCCCTGAGAGAGACCTAGACCTACGATGGCTGCCAATTTACAGCTGAAGCATGCTTGGTCCCTACCTGATTGGCGGTTCGTTCCACCATTTGACTTCCCGATTGGCAGACTTCTCCACAGACAAGCCGATCCACATGCTTGATCCCAAATCCGGTGCGCACGTCCCTGTTTTAGATCCGTGTTGGGCCAAGATCGGAAGTAAGCCGGGGATCGGCTCAATTGCTGGAGAGACTGCTGATTGGTACTGGCGTACCAGCCCGACTCAAGACCACCTGGGCAGGCACTAATCTGAACCAAAGGCGCACTCCATTGTCGCGAAAGCGACCGCCGCGTTCTGTTCATACCCGAGCACGGCCCGAATAAGCCCAAGTCGATACCAGCACGTCGTCAGGTTTGAGACGGTGCAGGAAAGTGCCGTTGGGGACGTTGATGAGTTTAGGGTAACCAACTCAATCACCCTCGTCAAACAATATGAATGCCGAGCACTGTATGACTTTGGGCGAGCATTGTACCACGTAGGTTGCCGCACGCCACCTAATGCGGACTGCAAACGCAAAAACTTAAACACGGTAAGGGCATCACCGGAAGCCCACAAGTTAACACTTCGTGAGTAAACTTTGGAAGTGAGAGGACAGAGCGTTCGCCGTAGGAGCTTTGATCACCGACAGCCTCCTCCCGAGGTCTACAATAATTGCCTCCAATACTTCGACCCCCGGCGCCTTAGCAGATAGATAATGGCAAGTGCAATGCAGCTCATTCTAAATGTCGCCAGAGACCTCAACAGTAAGATTATAGACTCTTGATGCTATCAAAACCGGCCTCGGCGAGGCTTAGGGGCCGGAGTTTTCGGAGAAATACATAGAAGACGATCGTGATTAAGATTGCGACTGGCGCAATTGGCTTAGGGCGAACAACTGTTGTTAGGTGACCTCACAGGATGATGTCCGTTATGCCGAAGCTGACGGTTTTTGGCGTTCTGGAATGGTTTTTGTTGGTAAGCCGTGCGGATCTTGATCGCGCGCTTCAAACTGTTCAAGCGATAAGGAGTAGGCGACGGTGGGCGCCAGTAAGTGATGGCAGCCAACAACATATTGGAGGTCGGCATGTTGTAAAGTTCGCAGACCAGATTATCTTCTTCACTTTAGTGTTTGTGCCACGAGGAGAGAGCAAATCGGTCTAGTTCGAGTTTAGCTGGTTGAGGAGTGGTTACTGAAGGCAGGAAGGCGCACGGTCGTGTTTTCGAAAATGTGAATTTGAACCGAAACCATGCCATTCTGAACACGAAGCTGTCAATCAGCAATGCTATGAGCCTTCAGCGCCTAGATGTAGAGTAGTTTACACATTCTCAAATGGAACAAGTGGACTCCACTACAGCTTCGAGCTTGTATTGGAGATCCGGGGTTGCTAGTTCAAGGTGGGCTAAAAACCGGAGCTATGCTCGGACCATCTTATCCTCGAAGGTCATTTTCTTATCGCCTGCTGAGACCCTTCTAAACTCCTCCTTCATCCAAAGTGCGCGATTATCGACTGTTCAGCATTTTCATCACGCCCTCGTTCTTCACGAGATCTTCGGGCTGGCAGCGAAACGTCTTCTGAGTATAGGTGTGTCGCCTGTCCAGTCAGGTCTACGCGCGTAGACATCGCGCGTAGATATATGGCCAAGAAGGAAAAGTCCATCGCAACAAGTCGCATTGTTATGCGATTGAAGAGTAGGAAGGACTAATGGCACGCCTGCGATCATTCTGAGACCTGATTCCGATCCATCTGACTCACCTCGCCCAACAAACGCTCGACAAACGTCTACGACGAAATTTGCAAATACACGACTTGTCAACTAAGAAGGAGCTCTCCAGTAAATACGATGAATTGGTAAATGAGTGACCAGGCTGGTAGACTTCACTGACTAGGCTAAGCCGTCGTTCACTATCTACGTAGGTGGTTGCATCTCATGCAGTGCAGCGAAACGAGGGTCTGAAGGAACATTAAGGCCTCACAAACACCCTGGCGCAAGCGAAACGCCATGGCCAGTTTGATGCTTTCCCGACAACGAGCCCCTCACGATCTCCACACTTCGAGCGACGATGCTCTCAGATGAGGTACTACTGTCTCCATACATGATGCATCTCAGCCCGGCATAGAGCTACGATCAAGATCTGAATCACTGATTAGCTTCAGTCCATGTCCAAGATCGATAGATGGCTTACCACTGCTGGATCTACACCACCAGCAATCCGAACCTTCCAAGAGCTTCTGTCAACTTGACTGAGGTTGGAGATATCGTTCGACTCCTGCAACAGCAGTTCGGCGATACAGACGTCTTTGGAGAATACCCTAGTCGTAATTGCGCTCTGGTCCTTTTGTCGAACCTGCAGCACCACGTCGTCTTCCTTGTCTTTCCCGGTGGGAACGACCATATCAAGATCCGATCGGCGGCCAGAAGAGACATGTTTCAGCTCCGCTATGCGCTGACCATCTGGACTTTCCACCGTCCAGAGGTTCTTCATTGCCGACCCGTGATGTCGTAGGTCGAAGATCGGCACACCTGAAGTGTCTTTCACCTGTCGACGCCATGACCACGACTTCATTGGCCCAGGTCCTCCTCCAACGAAGAGCTCTTGGCCTTTCTCATCCACAACGGTGACGTTTGAGAACAACCGATCGTGGCATCTGACATAGATGCTGGTCTCTTCATTCGCGATGGGGGCATCAGAGATCTTGAAAGGAAGTGAGCAGAACTCGAGAACTGCTGCCATGTCGACTGCCAACTGAACAATGGATCTCGAAAGGTTTCAGGGGTGAGCTGGGTGCGAAAATTCACAGTCGCAAAAGCTGAACAATGCGAAAGACAGATGGGCAGGCCTCATCAACCCCTCGGTGAAGAATGAGAAGAATGCAGGTCGGAACTCGCATGCACCATAAGAACTAACTGCGCAACTCAGCAACTCTTGGCTAAGACAATGTGACTCGCTATACGCGATCTGCGATGTCATCCCTTACACAAGAAACCCCTCGAAGCATCGTGATCGGGTTTAACCGCTGCCTGGACCGCTTGTCCATCAGCACGTGGTCTCGGCATAAGCCGCCAGGGCAGAATTATCCACATACACCTCTTGTTGCCTCCTCGGCAGACGACTTGAACTCGCGGCATGCGTCTGGTATCAAGGATAGTGCAAGGGTAATGTCTCGGTGATTATAAATTTCATGTTGCTGCAAGCCATGTCACGCTGACCGGCTGCCAGCTGCATTTACCCAGACGCTTTCCTATTTGTGCTTCAACGCAGATCTTGTCTGGAGACGGAGAATACCACTGCACCGGTGTCTCGCCCAAATCGGGATTCTCAATCCAATCCTTGTTCTAGTTTCTCCATTATGGTGATGGTATTCTCTAGCTACGCCATATCCATACCACCTGCGGGTACCGGAAACGGAAATGAGTCAGCGATTTCACCTCAGACTACGGCCTGATTTATCGTGCTCATCACTTCTCGGGAATGAGCAAGTACAATAACTCTGGGCGTTTCGTACATCATGTTCTTGCCACCGCTTCATTCTGGTATGCAACTCCAGCTCCATCCTGATACGCACATCCTCGAGCAAGTGATCGCCAACCCGTTTCCTCATCAACCGCTGGCATTGGATGATGGAGATGCCAGCATCTTCTCGACGAACGGCCAAGCAATCCCAAAGCGGACGATTACGCTGCTACTTGCTGCGCCTCTTACCCATCTTGTCCACTTTGAGCACACCATTGATGGTGTGGAAAGGGCTTTCGGCTCTTACCGCTTCTTCAGTGCCAATGGTATGTGTCATCTCGGAGTCGATGGCACCCGCTTTTCATAGAGGGGATTTGCTCTTCCTCTCCAATCGGAGCAACCACATCCAAGCTGGCGAAATACCAGTCGTATGGTTTGCTGGCAGAGCTTTGCCGATGGTTCATCGGGCGATCAAGGTCTCTGACATTGGTGGAGATGAAAATCATCCCTCGCCAGGGTAAAAATATTCTCACAGCTTTGGTGTAGCGATATCACATCTAACGTAACATAGGCAGTTCATAGTCACCAAGGGTGACAATAATGAAGTCGATGACGTTTCCATGTATCCTGATGGACGGACCTTTGTAAGGAGGGACGAGGTCATGGGCCTGGTCGTTGGATACATACCATACCTTGGATGGGTTTCCATTGCACTTCAGAAGATCCTTGAGGCAAAATATCTCATACTGTTGCTCGTAGTTGCTGTTATATTTGCCGGCTAGCTCAATAGTAGCTCACCTCTTGCTTCACTTCTCGGTATCTGTGTTCTCCGCAAGCCCGAATGTCAGCGTACCAGTTCAGTCTTGGCCATAACATTTGCACAAGTCTGTGTGTCTCGTATACGCATGTAGATGCCATGGATAAATTTGATGGCCTGTTCAGTGGTAGGTTGGGGCGCATCAGACACCTCCAACGTAAGATGATACATGATCATAGATCTTGTAGGGGGTTACTTTTGTGCGTACTAACCCAAGGAAATTGCCGAACTGTACTCATGTAAGACAGGTCCTTTACCTGAACGACAGTCGGTTATACTATTCTGATGAGATGACATACTTCGCGGCAACACCGATTGGACGTATGAGACGCTTGTCAACCGAGCATCGAGATGCCACTCGAAGGTACCTAGGCATCGACGCTGCGCAACTGATGGGTATCCAAGCAAAACATAGTGATTTGCACACAAAATGCAAGTGCTGCAACCGCCGTGTAGCTTGTTAAGACTTACATTGGTAAAGAGATACAGCTCGGTCCCATCTCCCCTACTGCCGCTATCACCATGGAAGTCCTGCGTCACGACTATGATACGATTCTCTTACGCGAGATCCACCAAGGATG